GGAAAACAAGACAGATCCCATTCAGAGATGAGGTAAGAAGAAGGCGGTGGCGATAGATTGGACATACTCTCAGGAAGTCAGACAGCTGCATAACAAAGAAAGTTTTGGATTGGAACCCACAGGGTAAGAAATCAAGGGGAAAACCAAGTGGAACCTGGAGAACAGTCACTGAAATCGATGTACAGAAAAGTGGGAAGACATGGAATAACATTAAGAGGCTAGCCCAGGATAGAGAAAGGTGGAAGGTGTTTGTCCATGGCCTATACCCTGATGCAGGGTGAGAAAGGCAATGATGATGATGATGATGAGTTAACACCATACAAGGCACGTGTTGTTCACGGATCTGTCAAGGAAAGTACATTTTGTTCTGGTCTTTACGCAAACGAAATAGCTACCTAAACATTATTAGAGAAGAAATTTCCGGTATCAAAAGTGAAACGTTGGTATTTTAAAAAATTATGTGCGTGATCTGTAGGTGTTTTGTGCCTCATCAAAAATAATGTATTTAGTTTAGGGCGTAGGCTTCGAAACCTTGCAGAAACAAAAAAAAATGTTACTCTTTTAAAAAATCTCTATCGGACTTCTTTCTTTTGTTCACTCCAAGTCTGTCTTCTGCTTCCTTCTCCACTCTCTCACACTTATCCTCACGCCTATCCCCGACCGTCTCTCTATTCCTCTCTCCTTTACTCTTTTTGTTTTCGTAATTGTTTACCGCACCTCGCAACTGCATAAGGTTACATGAGCGCGCGGGACACATAAAGCATGTTCTGTTTAGTAGCAATTAATTTTGAATTTTGCTCGGGTGGCGGCCGAAGCCTACTCTTATCGATTTTGAACTACCACAGGGTATTTAACGTGCGCAACGTGCACATGGGACCTCCGAGATATTTCGACCTTATCCGTGAAGGATAAATGTTAGATCTTTCCTACTCTAAGATCATGGGTGTGGCTAAAAGACAGAAGGATGAAGGAGCCAAGGAGCCACTAGAAAGGCTACAGAAAGAGCCAGGAGCCCAGATGAGAGGGCAAAAGGGGTGGGAGTTGCAGAAAGTAGAGAAGAAAGCGGACGACAGAGCATGGTTAGAGAGCAGAAAATGAGGTGAAAGGAAAGATTTTAGAGAAGAAAATTTTCCGTCGCTGTCAGGTTTCGCACGAGGGATCTATTGAATGAGAGGTGAACACAGTGACCTCTAGAGAGCCCCCTCCTCCTTTCCAGCACTTTGTGCTCTTTTTACTGCTACTCCTGACCCCTTCTTAATGATGCCTTTTAGCCCCACCTCTGATGTTTTGGTGGGTAAGATCCAATACTATGCCTTCTGGGATTAGGGCGACAAATCTCCAAGGTCCCGTGTGCAAGTTGCGCTTATTAAGGGGGGGGGGGTTACACCTGGAGGCTATCTCGCTTATTACTGCACAGAATTTTACCAAATTTCACACATATAACAAGCATAGTAAGGAGTCTTAAAATCCGCAATCAAATTTGAGAAAAAAGTTTCGTTTCCATGGATATGCCGCCATATTGGATTTTATTGACATGTCTTACGTAATGAATATCGCTCATGGAAATCGATTGTTTTTTTGCATGCGTGTTCACAAACATTAAATCTAAAAATGTGTCTGTTGTTTATTTCTTAATCGAATTAGAAAAATTTTAGTGATTTTTTTCCTGAGTTAGCATTCAAGTTTGCGAAAAATCCTTGAAAATCCACACTGCAGACACCACCAACAAAAATCTATTCCATATATAAAAAATTCAACAGAAGAACTTTTAGTATTACCTCTTCTCTTCATACTGTGAAAATTTCATGAAGATTTGATGAAAAATAGTTGGGTTATTAAAAAAAGTATAGAGAAAAGTTGCATTTTGAGAAAACGGCCGATAAAAAAAATAAAATACTGACTTTATGAGGAAATGGCGGTTACAAACATGCCCGATATGGGAAGAATTACGGTTTTTGGGGGTTCTTATGCCATGAAATAGTTGTAGGAGAGGATGAGGAAGCTAAAAATGCCTACAACTCAAATTCCATGATTTTGAGCCGAATTTTGATTTTGGGGGTGTAACCCCCCCCCCCCCCCCCCCCCCCCCCTCTTGGTGGTCCTAAATTTGGGAACAGCAGGTTTCGTGTGCCACCCGGGCAAACGTCAAATTCTATTCCTGCTAAAACTGAAAATATTATTGTTTGTATTAAAAAAGATTGAAAGTACCTTCCAAATAAGAATTCAAAGTTGTAAAAACCACCATATATTATTATGGAAAAACCAGTTTCACTGGAGGTTGAAGAACCAGCAGTCAACTACCCCTGGATCAAGCAAGAAAACACAAAGAAGATTCACCTTTTTGACAAATATCAAAAGGTAAAAAAGCGAAATACTCCCCCCCCCCTTTACACACACACCCCGACAAAATAACCAACAGGAACTGCATTTTGTTTCAGATTGTATACAATAGCTATTTTTGACATCAGCAAGACATGAATACGCAACACAATAGGAGATAATATGCATGTATATACTTGTACGACCATTGATGAAAATGGATTTCACTTATATTCAATATTTATTATGTTGATCTGATTATGTGTGTATGGTAAATTAAAAATTTGCTAGCATAGACATATTGTATATCGGGCGTAGTGACGAGCATAAGCTTAAGATCAATTAATTGCCTGAGGCTGTGTTATGAGCAAGTAGACACAGTTGGATATTCCGTTTATGCAAGTATCCGTAATGAAATGCAAAGTAAAAAACCTAATATCTGAGTGGGGCCTACAATTACAGAATATTCATTTGCAAGCGTTTGAAATAGTCATTGTTGACAACACCTACTAAAAATGCATTACTTTGAACTTTCTCTAAGAAAATAGGCCTTTGACGATGGGCAACGTTTGACAAAAAAATAAGTGAGATACAAGATAAAGCTATTCGTTCCAATTTTTTTTTCTTTTTGACAACCATGAAGCTAAGAACCTAAGGCGTTAGAAATACCACCGAAACTTGTAACGATTATAATGATAATGATTATAAAGACAGAAAGGGTAATTCATATTAATAATGAAGCGGGCTACTACTGTGTAAAAAAGTATGATTCAGTTCTATCAGTTCAGTATTGAGAGTTCCAAAACTAAACAGAAAGTTATGTTGTGTTATAAAATGGAGCATACTCGTGACACATAAAATAACCCTCAACTTTGACTTCTTTTAGTAAGAGTATTTCGTTTTTCAAAAGTCAGTTCTTTTAACCTGAAATCTTATATTTTTAAGTACTGTCTTTAGTACTTCCTTATTTATTTCAGATTTAATTATACAGCTGCTAATGAAAAAAAACCAAAACAATATCACAACAGAAGAACATTATGATACGCTCTCAAGACATGCTAATAGTAGAAATGTAAAGTGTATACACAAGCTAACACAATTTTCTAAGCCACAAAAAGTACCAGAAATGATTGGCCAGTCCTTCGAGACCTCATGGAGTGATGGCAGTAAGTAAGCATGCTCAGGCCGATGCAATCTTCTCAGACTAAGGCTTCACACATCACACAGAGGTAATCGAATCTTCCTTATTGTTCTTGGTAATACAGGTTGTATTGAAATATTGTGACCTGTTGATGAACAGCTATTATCTTAAAGTACCAAAGCCTCGCGTGGTCACATATTTTAGCTCACCTAGAAACAACGATAATTTGTTTCGATATCGTTGATGAAGTGTTTGGATTTCCCGCATAAGAGACGTCACATTTATTGTAATTTGAAATAACATCTGGTTCTGAGACGTGTCCTTTGTGCGTTAATACGTGCTGAGAAATTCTATTCTAAACGTTCATCACGTAGATGTCAGTTGAAATCTGGTTCTTCTTAATTTAAATGGTCTTTCGACCTCGTAAGTGCGAGGTATTTTTCCGTTTTACTTCAATTTCTCTTGCTGCTCCAGTAAGGAGTAGGTGAAAATGTCGTTTACCTGTCCCTTGCAGCAGATCAGGTCATTATGTAAAGTTTTCTATGTAGTGATGCTGTTCCTTTCTTTGTGAATGTATTATTATTGGCAGCGTGGATGAACTTCCTTTGGATCTAACCAGTTTCGCAGGATGCTTAAATCACACGAAGGTTGTCTACGGTGATACCTATCATTTGCTGAGCTTTTTCCACAGTGAATGGTGCTTCGACGACTGAGGATAAGAATCGTGAAAATAATATTATGAAAAAAGCAAAGATTATATTCCATTCTGTTCTGAAGACATAATTACTCAACAAAGGAAAGATATAAATCATGACCAAATGGCTTCTTATGGGGCAAACTGTATGCTGCCCTCTGATCAGAGGTGTTACATTTGATTAGTCATCAATTCAAAGGAGGTTTCGTTGTACGGGCATGCTATGAGCATGAGAGCTGCTCAGAAACCGAGGTACATGACTGATATCAAAGGTGTTACTCAACCTTTACTTCAGAAAATATGTGTTTTTGTGTGTGGGTGTTTGTGTATGTGTTTGTTTGCGTGCGTGGGTGTATGTGTGTGTGTGTGTGTGTGTGTGTGTGTGTGTGTGTGTGTGTGTGTGTGTGTGTGTGTGTGTGTGTGTGTGTGTGTGCATTGACATTTATCTTTTTAAAGAAGCGCAACACGACACCAAAGAAGACTCGGTACGATGCATGATATACGAATTTCTGAAACCTTATCACAATCACTCCTTTCGTTTCTTTTTCCATAATTTCAAACCATATCCTCCATCTGTCCCGTTGAAATAGCGAAATAAATAGGATGTAGGCTTGCTCCACCAGAAGGAAACTTAAGGTTTCTCCTGTAAGTTCCAAGTCATTGCCCCAGTCTTTTCTAGCAGATGTTCTTTCAGTCTCGGGTCAAAACTTATTTCCGTATCAAACAAATGTTCAACAACTGTTTACCAAAATACCCTCTCCCAAGAAAAGCTAAAAACTAAAACAAAACCCACACGTCCACGGACAACCCATATTTCCAAACATTTCCAGGAGAAATAAACATCAAGACTTAGATTCAGAATGCCATATTCTATGACATTGTACAAAGGTATTATAATATTTTTTAACTCGAAACAACAATACAATTTTGTTAAGGCAGGGTCGATCTTGTTTGCGTAGATGAAAGCGCACAATATTTCCAATCTATTATAATAATTTTCTTTTTCTAAAACTTAATGATCACGATTTGTGCGTATACCATGCTGTGAAGAGCCAAGGAAATTCCACATGACTTAGGTAGCCTAGGGGATAGGCTACAGGACTTGCAATTGTGATTTAGCGAGTTCGGGGTTTGAATTTCAGATTTAAACAATAAATGTTCCAATTTGCTTCGATCCAATTAGAGCTTTCGGCTCTTTAATAACTACTTGAATCTACAGTATTTGCTTGTTTGCTGTTTACAGTTTTGGAATCTCCACAAATAATCACAAGTTTGGAGCTTCGTTGTCAAGTGTCATACCAATGACCTAAGGGTGCGTCTGGTTGTTTCACTAATTAAACAATATCATGTATACCTTAAACATTTTAAAATATTTTATTATAGGGACAAACCATTCGGAAAAGGGAGTTCTTTTTTGTTTTGGTAAAAGTTTTATGGTACTTGCAACACAATTAATTATTAGTTCATAAAGGTGCCGTGAGGTAATCTGTATGTTTTATTTGAAAACAAACACAACACAGAAAGAAGATTATCTGATGCTTAAAACCCTTGCAACCAAACAACAACAGTCTATTGGGAACGCTAAAAAAGTAATTAATTTTTAAAGTTTAAGCTCATGTGTTTTGATTTATTGTCGTGTATCCCTTGAAAGCAGGCAGGAAATTAACACACCTCGTTTGGAAAGCCATTTTTTTCTGAATTCAGTTTTGGTCTCTCGAGGTATATGATGTGCTACAGCGTGTTAAGATTCAATCTGGAAGGTGCCATGGACATTTTTTTCTATAGAATTCATATAAGTCAAATAACCAAGAACTGCATAAAAATAATCTATAGCATTTCCTCGATGCCCATTTGATCAGAAAGCTTGCGTGTAATTTAAAGCATGTCTCCAGGAATCCGCTAAAGGAAAAGTCTGAGTTAATAGCATAGTCAAAGACATTCTCACAAAACAATAAACTAAGTGGAAAACAAACGTGCAGAGGATTTAAGTCTATTTAAAGTATTCCATGTAGAGGCTTGTGCTCCGATGTTCAGCAAGATTTTAATTTGTCAAGGACTAGACCGTGTTCGGATGTTTTATAGACTTAAATGATGAAATACAGATCTGTTTAGGAAGATAGTTTTTCTATTGCTGGTACTTAAAAAAAAAAAATCAGGATCAGTTTGAAGGCAAACTTCGGCGGTGCCTCTCAGAAATAACCCAAGCTGAGAGGGACGTAACATTCCAGCATGAAGACCGAGATACTCAGTTAAAAATTCTCCTCACTTAGGAGGTCGAACTTGGGTCTCTTACATGCGCCAGGGAGGCGGCCAACCACTATACCACATTGACAGATGTTTGGGACTATAACTATTTATAAATGAACACACTGGACAGCAAAAAATGCTTCCTATTAAATAAGAATAACACAGGAAATTTCTCCTACAGGACTATCGTATTACATCCTCCCATTGCTTCGTGATTTGAGTGCAATTGATTGGTCAGATTCTTTGGTTATCTTATCCTAACAAAACATTTGTTCGTGTAAATCAACGAAAATTGTATCATGACCGGACAAGACATCATCAAAACGCCAAATTAATATTTCCCATCATCAAATAAACGTGAAACATATTAACCTTTATTTAGAAAGACAACAAGCGACAGACTTTGAAAGAATGAAATAAACAGTTATGAATTCGTAAAATGTATAATAATAATATTATGTTTAGCATCACAGCAGAACTGAGTACTTTTGTCATTAAAAATGACTGTCACGGTTCATCATCCGTTTTCTTTATGTTTTAGAAATAAAGGTGCTGCTGAGTAAAACACATTCTGGCAATGGTGAAACTTGTTCGAAGAAACAGCAACCAAACGCCATATTCTTGAACGTCAACAAAGAGACACAGCATTTGTTAAAAAACAGTAAATTCATATTTTTCAATTATGGCATAGCTGTCTCGGAAAATAATGTACGACACGGTTTACAGGTAAGAAATATCGTGAGAATCTGCCTAACAGTCAAAACGAGTAATCACTGTCAATTTTTTCGACTGTCGCATTGTTTTGCTTTTGTTTAGTTTAGTTTTGTTTTTTAAATCGAGCTAGCAGTGACTGAAGTAGCTGTGCTCCTTGAAAACAAACAAACTGGCAATTTTCTCGCGCTTCCTGGTCGAGCAAGATTTAACTGTTCCTTGGTTGAGGACACCTTTCTTATAATTCCCCTGTCAACCCGCAACTTCTCAATGTCTTTGTGATTACGGGGACAAGATGTTTCTTTTTCTGGCGTACCCCTAGTTGACCTAGTAGATTGAAGTAAAACCTTATATTAAAAAAAAGAAAAGACCAAGCAATAATTAAGCTAATCCTTATGGGTCACAACCTGTGGTAAACATGTTAATGTGGTAGTAACTGAAAATAAGTTAATAATGCATCTGTCCAACCTGTTTCCCCATCTGTTTTTTCCAGGTCATCCCGCACACTGTGAGCAGCGGTACGAATGGCGAGCAGAGCACTGACCGCCAGGCCCACGGGGGGCTCACCGACAGCTGAAGGAAGCGGGAAACATACGGAAAAATCAACAATAATAACAATCAATGCTCATAGAGGCTGCTCTTGGTTAGTGATCGTATCTATCGATCTATCTAGCTAGCTATCCATCCATCCATCCACCCATCCATCCATCCATCCATCCATCCGTCCGTCCGTCCGTCCGTCCGTCCGTCCGTCTGTCCGTCCGTCCGTCTGTCTGTCTGTCTGTCTGTCTGTCTGTCTGTCTGTCTGTCTGTCTGTCTGTCCGTCTGTCTATCTATTGATCTATATAGACAGTCTAAAATAATATTGTCCAAAGCATGTGACTTTTTCATGAGAACATTATTATTTTCCATTTCCGTCGGCAGGAAAATCAATAGGCCGCCGACAGCGACAATATAATCATGTTCCAGACTGTTGGGAGCCAAAGAGGGCAACAACGTGCCACGTGACTCGAATGCTGAGACAGGTCGCCATCGACGTTTAAACAGTTTCGGTATGTTTATTAAAACGTTTCTGTGAAAAAATCTTGTGCTCTTTTTTAGCGAAAGAGTTTGGGCCCATAGGACAGCACACTATTTTACAATCTACTTTAAAAAAAAACAACATCTCCATATTTTTTCCAGGGAAACATGCGCTTTAAAAATAGTCAATAGCGTTGTTGGTTCTGCCACAAGGAGCCCTAGAAAGAAATACGCTTATTATATTGCATTATTTTTGTACGTGTATCATACGTATCTAGCAAACCGAACTTGCAAGATAAAAAGATAGCTAAATGACACGCTTTACGCAACAAAATTGGTGGAAATTTCAAAAGAGAAAAGTTTGAAAATGGTACATACGTGATAAAACATGTTCAAATGTATGTAAAAGGTATCTACATCCGTGTGTCCTGTAACTAGAAACTCAGAAAACGCAAATCTAGGTTTCTTTATTAAGGGAGCCTAGGGGAAAGGGGTGGGGGGATAGGGCGGCAGAAAGGACGTATTGATTACAGGACAGGAAATCAGAAGCGCACCTTTGGAGCTGAGAATTCCTACGGGATTTGGAGCGTCTGGCATCAGATGGATCCTCCAATCAATGGGAATGTCTTTGGTTGTCGGTGGCTTGTACTCCTGGAGAGAGATTAATTAAGGATGGACGTCCAATTTTAGTCAGATTAGTTTTGTACAATATACATTGATAAGTCAAACTGTGTTAATTCTTTTTTACATTATGTATTATGTAGAAAACTGGATTTCTTAATACTTTTTTTTTGTTTGTTTGTGAAAATAGAAACACATCAACACAATAATGGACATTTAGTTTTGCGTTTTGTTCAGAGGATCAGTGCACTAAAACACAAAGGTCAATTATTTATTGATGGGAAAAGCCCCAAGGAAGAGAAACTCTTGGGGGGTGGGGGGATTTGGGGGGGGGGGGGGGAGTTGTTCCGAAAACATCACAAAAGCACATTTCAAAGACTAAACTTTGTAACAGGTTCTTTTTTGGCGGTCTGTGCTTTCTATATTATAACAGGAGCACGCAGAAAAGCATGTTAACAATGTCAATTCTTTAAATGACAAGACCTTTAAAAGTAGATTCGTTATATAAAGATAAGAAATCCTCTTCATTTTTTTTAGGTTTATACAAAAAATAATATACTAGCAATCTAAGATGTGATAACTGATTATAGTCTTTCAAATCTGTGGAAGGATCAGAAAGACACAGACACTACCCTCGAAGTCTTCTCGACTACGTTATGGAGAACACGGTAAAGCATAGGTCTCAAACATTCACCTTTTTCACGATGACAACTGTTTTTTTAAAGAATTTCAGCGGCACAGCAGAGGGCAGCAGGGAAAGACAATTTACAATGCTATGAATAGGGCCTCAATGTAGGCGAATCATAAACTGGAAATATAGGGTGGATAATCATTCAGCTCTCTGGAAATAAGTTCACCAATTCAAAGGATTTCGTTTTCCGCCACGTGGAAAGAGCTAAACGACGTTTTTGCCATTGGCATTGTTCTGAACAAAATTAAGATAAAAGGAACACAACGGAGTGAATATTACAGGGAATCTGATTTTCTCAAGCAATTTTGTCTGCTGCAAGAAAGTCTGGCCTCTTTAAACAGGAAAATATAAAAAAGGAACAAATTTAAGGCTCACCTCTGCTGTCTCTCCACATAAAGAGAAAATTGTCCTGCGAGGGCAATCGAGAGTATTACGATCGAATTCAAGTTTTTGGAAGAACTTTAATCTGTTATTGCAAATTATCTGAGTCCAAATTTCAAGTTCCCTTGGAATCGATTCGTACTAGGCTCAGGGGTTGAGAGGGGGGGGGGGAAGGGGCAATCCAAAATGTCGATCACTGTCTAAAACTTACAAACGTTCCATCAGTGAGAACAGCTCCTGTCATCTCGTTATATTTAACATCTTCCAGCAGGTAGACACCTAAGCCAAATGTGAATCCACCTTCGATTTGGCCAATGTCAATGGTTGGGTTCAAGCTGGAATCAGAAAACAGACACAGAAAAAGTAGAATGGGATGCACTGCTGTGGAGACAACCAACGATGTTAAGTTTTGTTAAAAACAAAACCCTGTATTGTAAACTACAGGCTACATTGAGGTCCGCAAAGTAAAATAAAAATACACAGAACGAGGGGGATGGGCGACCATGAAATTTGAGTTAAATAAATTTTACACTCAATTTTTGCATGTTATTTGTCTCTTTTTCAGGCCTGTTCCTTTTCTTCCACGGACATCGCTCCTCTTTAGCGATGACTTTTCATACGCAAATGATATTGAAATTGACTTGAACTACTCGGGAGGATTCGCCCGCATCCTCTCCAACCGACACACGCACAGCAAGAAGCATAACGATTCGTGAACAAACATGCACACACACACACACACACACACACACACACACACACACACACACACACACACACACACACACACACACACACACACACACATACACATATTCACTCATACGCCCGCGCGCATACCCTCACATTTACCCATACCCACACATCCACAAAAACATTACAGCCATCCTTCCCACGTGCCTAGTGCAATGTGGTTTGGACTTGAGAAGTAGGGCTGAAGCCTGCTTCCTAAACGATCTAAATTGTATTGATGAGGACGAAAAAAAGCACCTACATTTAATTGAACGAAAACAAAGTATAAGTATCACCTCTCTCCCAAATCCGCCATGATGTCCACTCGTCGCACCTGGTATTCCCCTGTGAGTACATCCAGCTCTGTCTCCGTCACGCTAGTCATGTACGTAAAGTACACCAGGGGATCACCGTTCTGGAAGTGGCTGGTGGAGTTCGTACACAGCGAGGGGTGGGAAGCGAGGGTGGGGGAGAGGGGAGGGGTTGGAAGGTGGAAGAGTGGATAGGCAAACAAAATAATTAAAATAATTCTTGTACCCATTTGCCGGATGCTAAGGTGTCGTTTTAACATCTGCCTGTCACAGGTCAAGCACCTGAACCATCAATAATAGTATTATTTATTTGTAAGCCCATTTCACGTGTATCTGTCTATTCAATAATAATTTATTTTTAATTCATGCATCATGTTCTTGTGATTTGACATGAAATTTGCCTATACTTTTTTTCAAGTTCTGTAATCCCCCCCCCCCCCCCCCCCCGCCCCCCACCAAAAAAAAAAAAAAAGAAGAAGAAGAAGAAGAAGAAGAAGAAGAAGAAGAAGAAGAAGATGAAGAAGAAGAAGAAGAAGAAGAAGAAGAAGAAGAAGAAGAAGAAGAAGAAGAAGAAGAAGAAGAAGAAGAAGAAGAAGAAGAAGAAGAAGAAGAAGAAGAAGAAGAAGAAGAAGAAGAAGAAGAAGAAGAAGAAGAAGGAGAAGGAGAAGGAGAAGGAGAAGAAGAAGTTTACAACGTTTAATCCGACCACTCACCAGCTACTGGCCTGCAGGTGTGTGTTGCCAAAGTGAGCGGCTTGCACCAAGCCTGGCCAGGGAGCATCAGGCATCTTCTCTCGGAACGGAGCCAAACGCTCTTTGAGGATGGAAACAGCGCCCAGAGCCGACTGTAGACAAGTCACACGTGCAATCAGGGCGAGTGCAGAAGAAACTACTGCAGTGAGATCATAAATTCCTCCTCGTCCTCAAAATACTACTACTGCAACTACATCTACAACTACTACAACTACTACAACTACTACAACAACTACAACTACAACTACAACTACAACTACAACTACAACTACAACTACAACTACAACTACAACTACAACTACTACAACTACAACTACAACTACTACTACTACTATTACTACTACTACTACTTCTACTACTACTACTACTACTACTACTACTACTACTACTACTACTACTACTACTACGACGACGACGACGACGACGACGACGACGACGACTACGACTACAGCTACTACTACTACTACTACTACTACTACTACTACTACTACTACTACTACTACTACTACTACTACTACTACTACTACTACTACTACTACGTATTAGTATTTTCGATAAAACCCCATGCTACTTCTACCTCTTAGTCCTAATGAACTTGGAGTCTTACCGCGACACATCTCTCACTGGTGGTGCTGCCCCCTGTGGCAAAAGCGTTGGGCGTGACATTGTTTTGGTTCGGCCGTACTTTGACGAAGTCCAGCGGAATCCCCAGTCCGTGGGCAACAGCTTGAGCCACCTGGTGGGTATTTTTAGTCAGTCGTGTATAATGTCTTCGTTGGAATGAAGAGAAGAATGTCGACTCAATGATTGTCATTTAGTGCTAGAAAAAATAGACAGACTGAGAAAGATAACAGAGGGAACGTAAAGAAAGAGTATCTACCACTGGCGCACTCCTGCCACCAGTGTTTTTAGTAAGTGCTTCATATCATTTTTGATAATGTAGGTATTATTTCCCTCCCACAGGAAAAATCAAGATCATTATAGAGGGGGACTTTGACCCTGTCAGCCAGGGCAATTCAGGCAGAGAAGGATACATCGTTTCAGCAAAATAACCAATAAGATACCAATTCTCCCGACATGGAAATCGAAATCAGGTCTTTTGCAAGCGTCGACGAAGAGCCAAACCAAACAACTGGATGATAGGTTTCTGGGTATACCTGACCTCTTTTTTCTTTTTTTTTTTTTTGGGGGGGGGGAGGGGGGGTAAGTGTTTTACGGCGCTCGCTACTCCATAATGTCATATGAGCACGCTTGTCACATGAAATATATTCAATTGTTAGGACATTTTGAATTTTTCCCGGGTGGCGGTTGAAGCCTACTTTTATCGATTTTAGACCATCATGAGATTTTTAAAGTGCGCAACTTGCACATGGGATCTCCAATATTTTTCACCCTTGTCCAAGAACACTAGGTGTAGATCTTTCCTACCAGAAGATCAGGGGTGTGGCTGAAAGACAGCAGTAAGAATTAGCCATGGAGTAGCAGTAAAGAGGCTGCAGAAAGAGTCAGGTGAAGGGGTGGGGGGCAGATAGTGGAGACGAAAGCAGACGAAAGAACATTGCTGGAGACCATTTTACCGAGAAAAAAAAAAAACCCTTTGAATGAGAGGCGAACACTTTAACCTCTAGGCCTCGAGAACCCCCACTGGACCTCTGAAATAACCTTCCGGCGTTTTATAAAAGCCTCCGAGACAGCTGTAAATAAGCCTGACTAAAAAAATGGGCGGAAAAATAAACGAAAGTACATTTTTAGTTACCTGTCCTTTTTCGTATAGGTTCAGTTCTTTCAACAGAATTGGGTGCATGCCAATCTCCCTGGCCAGGTGCTCCAAGATGGATTCAGTAATGAGAGATGCGGGGACAGCTCCTGTGTTACAGACAAAACATTTCTTTATACTAAGGGGCAATTTACTTTTTTAAAAAAGTTTTGTTTGATTGGAAAAAACCAGAACACTCAAGTTTTAGAGATGTGGTCATCTATTTATCATTTTCTGCTTCAAAGCCCCCCCCCCCCCCCCCCCCCAAGACCTTCTTCTCTTGACTTCATGGGTGGAAGGGGACAGGGGGATTGCTCGATTTTGTGAGGTTATTTTAGTCTCGATAACTCGTTCTTAGATTTGTTGTTTTTATGCTGTTGTTATTCTTTTTTTTTGTTGCTGTTGTTATTATTGTTGTTGGTGTTGCTAAAGAAATGTCCTCTCCTTTTACAATTGTATCGATAATTTACCTTGCGTCTACCAGGACATCAAAGGCCTGTATCAACAAAAACTAAGACGACGACGACGACGACGACAGCAGCATCATCAACAATAATAACAACAACAACAACAATATCAACAACAAGAACACATTTCCACAATGTTAGAACGACTAGATTATCAGTAACAAAATGTTTTTAAAAAGTTGTTACGACTGGATTTGAACAAGAAGAAACAGTGACTTATAACTAAGTTAACATCACATACCTGGCCCCCTTACTGGTGCGGCTATAGGCTTGTCTGTTTTCATTAGCCTCATCGTGACCTTCCAGTTGGGGATATAAAAACCTGGTACAAAGTAAAGTACAGCTGTATGGATTTCTGCCATTCTCACATAAAGTTAAGAATAATACATAAAGAAAAGAAGAAAAAAGCAAAAAGACGAAAAAATAGAAAAAGAGCAGTACACAGCAGGTGTGACTGAAAAAAAAGAGTTGCAACCACAGCTTTTCCATATTACCTTGTAGCTTACAGTTTGGCGTGAACATTATGGCACAAGATAAAAGAGAACATATCTCAGTTTACTTTGAAAACGAGACGAAACGGTTACTTTACCCGGAGATCGTCCGACCGAAAAATATTATCTAAGGCTTAATCTGTTCTATAATTAATTACACAGCTCGTTCATTTTGAGGTGATAATGATGGTAACGGCATGTTGCTTCTGCTACTGCCGCTGCTTTTGCTTCTTAAAATAATGATGATGATGATGATGATGATGATGATGATGATGATGATGATGATGATGATGATGATGATGATGATGATGATGATGATGATGATGGTGTTGATAAAGAAGTCTCTGGCAAGATATTCTTTCTCGGAATCACCTTGGTCCATATTTGCCATAAAGTCAAGAACAAAGACGGTGGGTCGGCTACCGCTGTCCACGTAGATGTCAACAATTATGGCTTGCATTTTGCCTTCCTTGTCACACGCTGCCTGAAAGAAGAAATATTGGTGTTCTTTTTTCCTGTGATTTTATTTTAACAATTTTGTTGAACCTTACGATGCAAGAACACATTAACGCTTTCGTATCATGGCTATGCGTCTATGAAAGCACATGAAACATATTTTTGTGTACTGTCCCTATTTCACACACTCACGCTCACACACGCTCACACACACACACACACACACACACACACACACACACACACACACACACACAATATTTTCACATCATTATTATTCGGTGCCTTTCCGGCAGGAGTGGGCGATCATGGACCGCCACTTCACTCTATCTCACATTGGGTGACAAAATCTTCCTCTGTAACCTTTGCATTGGATTACGTTATTGAATTCAATTTTAGTACTTTTTAAATATTTTGGTAGGTGTTTTACGGTGCTCGCAACTGCATAGTCATATGAACGCACGGGACACACAAAACATTTCCAGTTGGTAGGAAATTTTGAATTTTTGCCCGGGTGGCGGCCGAAGCTACTCTTATCGATTTTGGACCCCCAAGGGACCTCTGAGATTTTTCGCCTTTGTCCGAGAGGGTTGGGAGAGATCTTTCCTCCCAGAAGATCAGGGGTGTGGCTGAAAGACAAAAGCAAGAAGGAGCCCAGGAGAAGCACTGGGAAGGCTGCAGAAAGAGTCAGGAGCCCAGAGGAGGCTGCAAAGACAAGGAGGGGAGGGGTTGGGGCACAAAGTGGAGACGAAAGCAGACAACAGAAAATTGTTAGGGAGCAGGAAAGAAGGTAATTTTAGAGAAGAGAATTTCTCCGTCGCTACCCGGATTCGAACCTGGGATCTTTGAATGAGAGGGGAACACCTTAGCCTCTAGGGCACGAGAGCCCCCTTCGTACTCTTTAATATGTATAACATAATGTTGTCTGACATAAAGTTGAGTGATGAATGGTAATTATATTATAGCCATATCGTTTTTCGACCGCGCAAGGGGATTCCCCGTTGATGTAGTATTCTCAGTCTCATGACCAGGGTATGTCGTGTAGTTGAGGTGCTTCGCGTTGCACGTAGAAGACCTTAATTCGATTTTCAAGTGAGAGACTTTTTATTAAGCATCTCGGTCTTTCTGCTGCGACGTTGTGTCTCTCTCAATCCGGATTGGCCCTACCAAGCAGAATCGAAGCCTGACACCAAAACGATCTAATTAATTTGTGTCTAAGAGGCGTAAAAGAGCGCCATACATTTAATTGATTCAGAAGTATAAACATGTCACGTGTGGTCATATTTTGGTTTGCCTTTACCTGCCAGTAGCTTCAGCTGCCACAGCTGCTGCAGAGGCGATGCTGGTGGTCTGCAGAATTTTCCCGCCAAAAGCCCCCCCTATCCTGGGTGTGATCACGTTGGCGCTAGGGAGATAATGTATGAACAGAATGAGATGAGACGAACCCCCCTCCCCCCCAAACAAAAACCTACAACTATAAACAAAAGCAAAAGAGACAGCCAAGGTAGTGGTAGTTTTTATGAGATCGAACACAAAGTTATTAAGGAATAGACACGATAAATAGAGAGATAATGTGATCAGAAAATGTATCAAATCAATCAAAACATAATATGTCTTTTCTCTTACAGCAAAACACGTTAATATATGAGAAAAGATATAAGAAAAGAAAAAAAGGGTATATAAATACAATAAAACCAGGATGGGATGGACAAACGAAATGTCCTAATTCCCTCAGGATGTGTAACTTATTGTGGACGCTTGTTCTGGTTATTCGACACCACTTAAAGACGCACTATATGCAGTTTTCAATTCTGTTTACTATATCTGGAACTTAAAGGTTTAGGTGATAACACACAAACGGTAAATTCAAATTCATGATTTTGATTTGTATGATGGCTCAAAATGTGCCACAACATTGCTTTTGATCTGCTTCTGATCGGATACTTGTGTCCGCTACGTCCTTAATGAAAGAGTTAATGCAGAGCTATTCACTGAAAATCGAAAAGGTTTGCGCACACGTAAGTATACACTCTACTACTAAATATATGTAGCTGTAAATTGGAAGTTATACGTATTTTAATGCACATTGCTCCCGAAATTCCCCTCCTGTAACACAAGCTATTTCTTGCATCAGAGACAGTTTGTGCCAGGGCTTTCCGTTCTGTTGTCTCTGTTATTTGACAGAACAGACAATAACTATTTTCCTATAATGTATGATTTTGACATGATGTGATGATGTCTCATAAGCTGTATTAAGTCAAATTGTTGCTTTTCAGGTATTGAATTATGCTTCTCTTCGTAGCCACGCCTTTCTTGTTATACAACTGTTCTTAACTTGACATTTCTACAGCCACAATCACTGAGTAGATTCTGTCCTAGTATTCGACCTAGATCTATATCTCCTTTTTCTTACTATTACCATTATTCATCATGATGCATAAGAGGGGTGGGGTAGGGAAGATAAAGACCCAGAAGAAAGAAACGGGCCAACTGCAAAAGCAAACCGCTGACGAATGAGCTTACTAATTGTGGGGTTTGCCAAGGACCTGGGCCACAGACTGCTGTACCAAGGACGTCCACTGTGTGGCACTGTGCACGTCCAAACCATCCTCCGAGGGGACCACTAGCGCCACCTAGGGAGAGTGAGATTAGATATGAGAAGAAGAAGAAGAAGAAGAAGAAGAAGAAGAAGAAGAAGAAGAAGAAGAAG